ATATAATTTGAAAATATCATTTTCGGTCAAATACCCTTCGAATCCACTCACTAGAATATCGCCCCTCCTTGCCGTCCAAGATTTTGGCACACGGAGACTGTTATTTTTCATATCACTCGGATGTTTTCTTGTTTTTTTTTTTTTTTCTCTTATTTACGATCTTCTTACGCTCGAACTCCGGTCCCCGTTTTTTTGCGTCCAGTTTTAATAAGTATCAACACGCCATCGGCTTATTTATCATTACCGGCTTTTACTCTTATCATAATAGTATTTACTAGTATTGCAATTGTTATTATCACTTTTAGCATAAACTCTTATCGTTTCTCTTTTTGACAATTATCAATATTGTTAATATCTTGTTTGATTTTTTGTTTACTTTTACACCACATCCCGTCGCCATAATAACCTTTAATTTTTTTCTAGGGACAACACCAGCACATAACGCAGGAGGGCCCAAGAGTTTGAGCATCATACCTTGACAACATTAAAGGTAGATATATAGCGCGAACGAGTAGAGAAGATTTTCAGTTATTTATTGTCTCAGCGGACTAGAAGCTGGCGATATGGGTAACTATTTACTCCGAATTCACCTCCGAATTGGATTGATTGACCGTTTCAGAACTCTCTCATGGTTGTTTTTTTTTTTGTCAACACTACACTGCTTGCCTTCTACTAACCTTTTGCAGCTTCTTTTGGTAAGCTCAAGTAAAAACAGGGAGAGCCCCCTATTTGTCTAGAATTAGATATGCGTCCTAATTGTAGCTATGATTTAATACCGAATACTGGTTATTCATTTCACTTATCTGCTCGTTCGCCTCAAAGATTTGAGTTCTTAAAAACGTTATCAGCTTGACCCCAAAGCACCTCCAGCTCTCTACTACTTAAATATTGCACACATTTCATCACGTCTGCCTGATTGATTTTAGCAGAACAGTGACATCCTACGAAGGCCGTCGCTCTGGTAGCTCCTCATCTCATCTTACGTTATGTATAATATAAAATTCATTTAACCATTGGTTTTTCGTCAAGATGACATACACTAGAGAATATCCCGCATTCATATTCGATTTCAGCATTGTAACTCATCAATTATCCAAGACGTTTTCTTGATTGACAAGACAGTCGTTGTTACTTTTTGGACGTTCTCATTGCTCTTGGAGCACCCACTGATTCTGGCATGAACAACATGACGCTAACGCAAAGCTCACGGTCAGACATGGTTTAGATTTTCAACAACAAGTATTCGCTGATTAACGAACGACAAGAGGTAAATGTTACTGACCAAAAACATTAGGGGCATTGAGTGTGGCAGACACCATAAGAACAGTCATCAATCGCAGTAGTCAAAATGCTCATAGTGACATTGAGATCCATCTTCATGCATATATTGCATCGTGTACGTAACACATGCATTACATCGTAGTATAGCTTAAAGGCCAATTTAAGACGTGAATATTTTTAATCTTCGCAGAATAGTTAGTAGTTTTACTTTGATTTCTCAGAGAGTTCCCCTAACATCGAGACATTCATTCAAACGACTCCGAGCTTGGTGCTGATAAAACGATTTCTATTTCTGTTATCGTGAACTAGCCACACCATAGGCCATTTTCGACCGATCCAAAAGAAGACGAACGCAGCTGGAATTTCTATGTATCTTTAAAGATCTTCCCTTTTCGCTCTCGTAAAATAACGAGTGCAGCTTGTGGGGTAACATCTCAACAGAGCATTCTACGATGCGACTGACCACTGAAACAATGCACTGCACGCAAAGAAACTCACCGCCCGACTATAGAACGCAACGCGGAACACAGTGTTTGTATACTTTTATTTTGAGTTGTCGCGAATCCTCTCGGACGATTCTTCCGATTTTGCAGACTGCACTGCTCTCGTCGAAGTTCCTTTATGACAGCTTGAGGATCGACGTACTCTTTTTTTTTTCCCGTTTGACAACCCGCGTCCTTAGCAGTGTTCGATTTCTTTTATCTGCCCCCATCTGGGAACCCGACCAAAATGCTTTCCGCCATTTTCTCCGTTTTGTCAAAGACTGACAATCATAATTACTGTAATAAATTATCATATGATTATTATCTATAAGAATTCAATATACAAGATGACGATGCAGTTGATTTCGATTGTACAGTATTGCCTGATAGGAAATAGGTGAAAGTCCAAGTAGATTGTTCACGAAGCAAAGATAAATAGCGATCGATTCCCGAGGGTCGATGAATTATATATAACATGGAGTGCAAGTTCATTTCAACAATTTCTCTAGTTGTCACGTCTTTGTCATGCTCGACCTACAGCCGTTGATTCCGCTATGCACAATGTGATTCATTAATTAGTATTATTATTCCTAAAAAGGCATATATTTAATGCAGTACCTCAAATAGGCGGCGACTGTTACCTCGTCTTGGACTGGGGGAGGGTCAATACAATGATGTAGTTACGATGTCATTGAATAAGTATACGCTGTTGTCATAGAAGCGGATCGTTGGTAAGCTCACGTAGTTCAACGCATTTTGTCGTACTTCCTATAAATGAATCGTAAAACAGAAGCAGAAGAAAAATGGACGGCCACACGGAGGCGATTGAGGCGTTCGAGTTACATATGAGATAGTACGATTCTAAAATCAGAGCAAAACTAACATATCATAATAATCAGAAAGGGAGGAAAAGTGCTTGGTCATTTGAATTGTCGACGTTCGACCATTACCAGTGTTACCAAATTTTGCCCACGGTCCACACTTATCATTATCATTGATTGAATTGGTTACTATTGTTGTTGTCGCCAGGGGCACTGCTCTGAGATCGAGTTGCTACGAATGGAATTTTATCCACGTCAGCATTTGCTTGCCTCCGTTAGTTTGTGGATCGCAAATTTTTCCTGCTAAGAGCGCAGAGGATTGACGCGAGAAGTTGATTGCATTTGTAGAAGTAGCGGTCTTTGAGTTTCAAGTTCACGGGCGAGTAACCCAAGCAGCGGCACGCACAAGGAAAAGAGGAATCAACACGGAACAGACACTCGAAAGCGACGCGATAAAGGCTCGAGCGTTTTCTGACACACAGTAGTGAACTTTGTTACTAGACTTCTCCCAAAACTAGAGAAACTCTTCGTTCGATTTTTCTTTCGATTATTGATTTGTTATTGGTTTACAATAGTAGCATTGTGGTATGCAACCAGTATGCAGATGCCCCTATCCCCGACTGCCCCATATCTCTTGTAGCATCCCAGTGCGCCTTTCGCCAGTTGCTTCACGGCAGTTAACGACCGTCATTTTATTATCATCGCTACGTTTCAGCTACTATAACGATGTTAAATCGGCAGCGATTTTTCAGCGACACATGTAATGTTATGACACTCTCAAACCACTACTATATTTATTGTTATAATAATTATTATCAGTGTTATCGCCATCGGCATTATTATGTTTATACACAGGTTAATAAGAAATGTATATATTTATGTAATCGAACTTCCATCTTGATCATCATCTCTGATAAGTGAATCACGACGATGTCTTCCTCGACCACCTCAGCACTGGGCTAGTCCACACGATACAACATCTTAATATTTTTCCCTTTTACTTATTCGTCCGCGGGTTGCCAAGCAGCGATGCGTCGCCAGGGCAAACTTACCTCATGCCTTGGAAACGGTAATGCACTTCTTGCCACGTCACCATGGCACTCAGTCTATTTTCTTTCCACTCTTCTCACATACGCTATGGTGGCTCGCTGGGACTAATGTCAACCTTCTACATACAATATATACGGTTTTTTTCTCTAACTCAGGATTTTCTCATCAATTCTTTCTTCTTTTTCTATATTTTTATAGTTCCAGCTATTGCGCCTCTTTCAATAGCAGACGTGCTAAACGCGTCCAACGATACGGATAAGAAACACAATCATCATCATCATCATCATCATCATCATCATCATCATCATCATCATCATCATCATCATCATCATCATCGTTATCACCATGAATCATCATCATCATCATCATCATCATCATCATCATCATGAGTCAGTGTCTCGGTCGTGATCATTTTTGGTTTATGCTTGTGTGAGCGTCGAAGAGATAATAGAACGTTGAACCTGGCTCGTCGTGTGAGACGCACAACTTGGTACCCGGTGTAGTGCAAAGCACTTATCAGCAGTAGGTATCAGTCGGTAGGGCGATGGCTTGAAGCCGTCCGGTACAGCCGAAGTACGTCGTGTGTAGCTTTTTTGCAACAACGAGTTCTGCTAACTACACTTACCTATACGCTCATATATGTTCTTAGTTGTCTTACAGTTCCCCACTGAACTCTGAGCTGGCAGAGCGACGGTCTACTGCTCTAATCATCTTCTGCCTTCATCGGATTATAGCAATCCGTTATTGTATACTTCTTATTGTGCTAGAAAGTGAATGAGGTATAGTTCGACCCTTCGGAGGCGACGGTCCCCGAAGCTGCTCCAGGAGGCCATTGAGCGCCCTGTCTGCTCGGCGAACTATGACGCTTCATGTGTGCGTTGCGGCTTTTCACTTTTTCGAACACTCTATAAATATATTGTGTCACACAAAATAGGTCACAAGCGGTTGTTAGGTGGTTAATAAACGGGCACCCTGCACGAAGTAATTATTTTACAATACCAGTTCCCATATGTAAGCATGTATGTATCTTCTCTTCAACTTTATCAGCTCTATGATGAACGCTCTAACTCTGGGGATTTAATTATTAAATCCCCATTATTATCTTGCTTACTTAAACTAAATTATGGTGGCGGCTTCTTGATAAAGCGAAATACATTTTTTAGGTGCGAGCTATTCGGACTTAGTCTTAAACGAACGCGATTAAATAAAAAATCTTCTAAATCACTGTTTCCTACGTGCTCGGGGTGGTATAAAACATATCACTTCGTTGAAATTGTCGATAAGTCCAAAACATTTCACCCTTCTTACACCATCTTCAGACGCCAGACATAACGCCATGCATCAAAAAAACAATTGCGCCCAGCAATCTTAGAGCTAATTATTTTGCAAAAATAAACCCTTTTTACCGACATAACATACCGTCCGCAAACTTTGCAGGGGAAATAGTGCGACGCCTGAAGACCTTTGTCATCGCCAGCGAGTCCTCGGCCTTGACCGCAACAATCTCCACAAATAGCACAGCCGGTGCCTTTACAACTGCAACGAGTGCAGCTTTCGCAGCGTTCGACTGCTTCCGGCAATACAGTGCTTTTTCGTTTGCGACCCTGTCGTAATCGACGGTACTCTTCTGGACACACCTGTGGTACAGATAAGAGAATAAAATATTTCATTTAGTTCTCCGTTGATTCGTAAAGTAGTCCCACTCGATCTCGGGACTCAAACTTGCTTAGACGCTCCAAGCGATAAAGTCTATAGATCTTTTTTAGTTATTTAGAGACTCTGCATAATTCCTTAAAATTTGACTAGGACTCCTAAAAAGGCACAATGATTTGGGTTCCGCAGGGGTCGGGCCTAAATTAAGTAGCACATTTGCTGTGCATAAAAAACGAACTTAACTGGATGCTCTTAACATGCGTTGGGAAATAAACGCGGTGTAGGCTTAATAAAGTTTACCTTTTTCCAGAAGTAGTACATCTCTATACAAGCCTTGACATCCTTTCCAGTAACTTTTTCAGCGATGAGGCTACAAATATACGAAGTTTCAAAGATTCAAACGGCTTTCATTAACTGTTGAAGAATTTTAC